ATCCTTCGGCTAGGAGGAGGTTGCGCTCTGCAGCTGCCTCTCGCAAGCAGGAGGCCAGTCCGCCACTGTGGCTCTGCTCCAAGCCCTCCAGACACTTGGCAGCGGACTGCGGGAGGCGGGACCGGCAGTGCGTCCATCCAGGCTGCCCAGTATGCAGCCGGCGCTGCGCGTTCAGCCGACTGCAAACCGAGCCCGCCGTAGATGGCCGGCAGAGATGCGAGCGGCCAAGCTTACCCCGCATCCGCCGGTGGAAACTCGTCAACAAGGCCACTCTTGTGCAGAGGATGCACTCTAGCCCCAAATCTTTGCGTTGAACCTCGCCTGCTTTCTGCAGAGCTGCAAACTGGCTTAGCTTGCCTTTCTGCACGAGTTTGACCGATCCCGAATGCATGCAAACAGTCCTGGCGCAACCAGTGCTGGTTATATTTTTTTGTTTTGTTTCGGTACCGTGGCTCACGCGCGCATCGGCAAACGGCTGCAAACGGCTGGAACCTGCCGGAACTGCAAGCCCGAGCACACGCTCGAGCGGAGGAGCATCGCTGTGGTGGGAATGCAACGGCGACGGGCCAGGCCTGTCCTGACGCTGTACTCACGACCGCCTCCTGCACGGCCACGCTCAACACGCTCCATTAACAACGAGACCTGCCCGCCCTAGCCGCAACATGCAGGACCGGCGGGGCTCTGTGCGACCGGACCCGGAGCATGTCGCGCCAGAAGCGTTGGGCCTCAGCAGTCCAACGGCCGCCGACATCCCAGCCTAGCACGCGAAGCTGTTGTGGCCCGCCGTGGCTGAGTTCCATGTAGGCCGACTGTTTGTGACAGTTGGCGACCTGCAGCACGACGCCGTCATTGTGGCCGACGTCCGTCTGTGGTTGTTCTGCCGGGCGATCAAAGGATGTCATGTGCAAGTGTCTGTTTCGACATGGTTCCTCTCAACTAACTGCGTCTGCTAGACGTCGAAGTAGACCACGACACACCTGGGCCACAGAAGTGTACAGACTTGCCTTGGATGTTGCGGGTTCTGCACAATAATATTTGATAAACATGTGGCAACAGCCTTCAATCGTATGGCGTCGCTGCATCCAAACATACTGTCTTCGCACGCGCTAAGCGCCTGTAAGACAGTATATCTGCCCATGTGGTCTTACATGAGGCGTACTGACTGACATGTCAGGTGTGGTAGGCATAATGCCGGATTCACGCGAATGTGCTGCTCAGCGGGGATGAGCACCGGCCCGCAGGTGACGAGACCAGTCTCGCTACGCCCTGCGACCCGGACCGAAAGCCCCAGGTGCCAGTGCACAGCCCGGACGTACATCTGAGGCTTGCCTTGTGCCTCTGACACTGCTGCATACTGCTGCTGTTTTGCCTGTGGGGAGCACGTTGCGGCGCGCACCGGAGCCTGTGCTGGCCCTTGTGCCGGTTGGCCGCTTTGTCGCGCTGCGTTGGCCCAACAGGAGCGAGCACTCATCGCTGGCCACGCGTTCCGCGGCTGGATTAACGACCCCGCGGCTGTTCCAGCAGCGTGCATGCCCTCCCAGCCAGTTCGATTACAGCATTCGCACGAGTACTGAGGCACTGTTCAAGCTGCGGCTACTCCACGTCGCCACCGACTTCAACTCACGCATTTTCAGTTGGTGCCGTAAATGCTTGTTCTTGAGCACGTGTCTCCAGGCGAGCCATGCTCGAAGCGCTGGGTTCATGGCGGTATGTCTGGACACACGAAGCTTGGTTCGCTGGCCAAGCACACACGCAAGTGGCGTCGTGCAGCTCGGACGGCAGGGACGTCTTGCAAAACGTTGGACGCCGCGCTGTTCAGCGACAGCTAGTAACCCCGACGGGTTCAACGGTTCTCTGTTCAGTGGTTTTGGGTTTTCAGTTTCTGAGTTCAAGGGCTTGGAGTCAAGGTTTCTGCACTTGGGGGTTTAAGCTTCCTGCGTTTCTGGGTTCAGGATTTTTCTGGGTTTATGGTTTCTGCGCTCAGGACATTAGGGTCCTCAAGGATTCTGGACTTTCAATTTCTGCATGTTCCTGGGCTTCGGTGTCTCAATTTCAAAGTTGAGGTTTTCTGGGTGTAGGTTTTGCACCACTCGCTTAACCAAAAAAGCTCCAAATGTATATGTGGGGGGGGGTCTGGGAACGAGGCCCAGGCTACCACGTTCAAGCATGCACAGCATGATGTAACCGAGGGGGGGTAACCCTTTTACGTATCCGGGCCGCGCTGTACTTATAAGCGAACACCCCCGCAGGTCACATGAACAAGGGGCCCCCTAGAAGACGCCATAAGACGCCCAATGCGCGGCGGGGCGGCATCGACTCACCAAGTCGCAGGGGGACTTGGTGCAGGAGGAGCTATGAAGCTCAGGAAGGCTCGCGCACCAAGGCTTTCGTCGCTTCTGCTTGACGAGCTGGCAAGCAGTGGCGGTCAGACCTCGTGCAGGACGTCCGGCAAAAAACGGTGCCTGCACGCCAACGACCGCCACACTGAGCAAGCCCCACCACCGCCGGTATACCCTAGGGCGGCAGCGGCAGCTCCCCGTAGCAGAGCTGGGGCCCGCCGGGCACGCAAACGCTGAGCGACGATCGGAGCGATCCCGGAGTCGCACGCAAGCACGCACAGCCTGGGCGGTCCTCGCCGGAGCAGTTCGGGGTAGGCAGCGTGCTCACGGCGTTCGGCGATGGCTGGGCAGCGCCGTCCCCGGTAGGCTGCCGTTCGCCTGTCAATGCTCAGACCAGCGGAACCGGGCGAACAGACTGGTACGGGGGCGGCATGTATCTGTATCCGCACAAATAATTACAAATACAGCATAATCATCGCTGTAAACACCGATTGCGGCGCCGCAGCCGCATCCATAGGCTCTGCATCTGCCTTGTGCGACAGGCCCAGCTTGCGAACGCAGCAGCGCGTGGGCGGGCGGCGCGACAGCCGGAAGCAAGTCAGTATCGCGTCGGGTTTAGGGACAAGCGCGAACCGTGATGCTGCCAGCCCGCTCGCCGTCCCTCCCATCTTGCGTGGGCGAGGTGGGTGCCACCTGCAGCGGCCACGCGCAAGCAAGGAGCATAAGAAACTGGCCCGGCTTGCAGCTCACCAGGCAGCGCGCAGCAGCCTCCGAGCGGCGCATGGCAATTGCGCCCGAGTGGTAAGGAAACCACATCGGCGAAGGCTGCTGTTTTCGTCGTGCACGAGGCGGATCATCTCGGAAGTGTGACTGGGGGGTCCCGGCTGTCCTGTCGAGCGCGCGTGGTGCCGGCGGCTCGCGTTCCTTCAGTCGCGCTGACCGCTAAGCTCGCTGCATATGCTTGGGGTTGATGGGTGGTTATTGTTGCCAGGGTGACGGCAGTTACACGCAGCTGTTTTCGGGACGGCACACCGCAGCCCAAGTCCCCACGAAAGCAACTGAACATGACATGCCATCTCCCTCAACTGCTTCCTTGACGTGAATTCGACAACTTTTTCTACCGCGATGCGGGCAGCAGGGCACGACACAGCACGACAATTTACAACGATGTTGTTCCGTCCAGAATATACATGTGGAGCTGGACCCCCCCACTGGTCTGGTGGTTGCGACGCGCAACCTTCAATCATGCACCGTTGGTTGTGTTCGGTGGCAGAAGCTGGGCCACAAGCTGAAACTGGGACCGACGACGAGTGGAACGAAAAATGTGAAGGCACGTGAGGGGTGTGCCAAATCATTTTCAGCGCTGCATCGTCGCAAGGTGGCAAGCACACAACGGCAAACGTTGTCATGGGATTGCATGTTGTAGACAAACCAAGCAGATGCCATATGTTCGCAGGCGTAAGTTCATGAGGATTTCCACTCAAACGCGTCACGACAAACGACAACCCACCAGCCTGAACTGTCTTTTCAATCAGACCCTGCAGCTGCTGGTAGTATCCGCCAACCCCGTTCGCAGGTTTGGAATGAGCATCACCCGCCAAGCGCCAATCATATGGAGCGATGAACACGTCGGTTCCCAATTCGTACCTGCACTTCGTCAAGATGACCCTGAACCTTCATTTCCGCTCTAACGTGCATCTTGTGAGCTTCGGACCCAAGTTGTTGCTGCAGATGGTGCAACATCGTGCCGAACTGGTAATTGTACAACATGTCCTGCAAGTCACTCAACTCACATCTTCACCCATGCACCAGCAAGCTCCCCAAACACTGTCAATCTGCACTCCTTGTGGCTTTTGCCGGTTGCCGTGCCGTTGCCCCAACCGAGCGCTCGCACTTCAACGCCGGCCAAATTCCTGCATGACGAGCTGTATTTCGAAAGTGTTCAAAATGCTTTTCATACACACACACACAAACATGCACACAACATCGAAAAATTTGCAGCGAGAAACGAATAGACATCTGTGGCGGCATCATATGTCAAAGTCATGCGTGCCATCAAGCAATCGATCTCCCACGGCAAGGCTTGTACCTGCCAGCTCAACATTAAAAAACACCAACACGGAACCGAACACAGCCCAAAATCGTTGTAAAAGAGTTGTGCTTAGTAGCTGCAGCCAAAGCACAGGGCTGACCCATATCTGCATCCATTCATTGGATGTGTTGCGCTTGCACCAGAAGTGAGGCATTGGTGCATCACGCTCCTGCACTTCTAGCGCGCTGCCTGTAAGTCCAGGAACCAGAATTAATGGACGATTCCCTGCTCCATCTCCACGAGCGATGCCACCGGCAACCAACCATAGCCACAAGATCTTCATTGCTGCCTGGCTTCAATGCCTCAACTGCGCTGACTGCGCTGCTTGAGAAAGCTCACCAACCAACACCAACGATGCACCAACAAGCATCAAGCAATTGAACTGCAAACGTCATGCTGTCAACACGCATACTGCGATTTTCATTGAAAGGCACATCACCAAAAACGACAACGGCAAACTCCAACCAAAAACTTGATTGAACCGCCTTTAGGCGGCTATTGCATCTTGTGCTTGTGAAAGTCGAAATTTCAGGAACTCTTCCCATTCAGCAGGCTGGGATTTTGGCAAACAAAATATGTTATAGCACGAGCCAAAACCAACCCAGAAGCACCGATGAATGAAATGCCAAGCTTTCAACTGCATGAAAAAAGGAATGGACTCATCACGGAAGCCTCTCAAACTTTCCAACCGAGCTGAAGACTTGCTGCCTCCACTTCTGTTGCATCCATTCATAGCAAACAGCGGCTTCACGAATTTCGTATATTCACAAATGCAACTTTAGGCAAGTGATGCACTTCAGAGGGATGGAAAGATTTGAAATCATCATCGAATTGTTAGAAGCTTGCTTTCAGTCCAACTCAAGCAGCTGGGCAAGCAAAGGTTCAGAACCTTGAAAAAGGCACAACATGGCAAAACACGCCAAGCCAAGTAGGAATCTCCAAAGTTTTTTGGAATTCAGACACTACAAGGGTTTCTGGCGTGATGGCAGGGTGTGCTGACTAAAAGCAACACAAAAACTGCGCATGCTCAAATCCAAAAATCTCAACTAGTAAGACTCGAGTCGAGAACCGGCTGCGACAGAAGAACACTGTGGAGGCCCCTTGTTCGCAGCAACGTTTTCGAGCAGTTTTCCAACCCCTTAAAACTCGCCCTGTATTTGGGTGGGGGTGAAGAGCCCAGGCCTGGAAACGACCCTTGGCTGGAAACCGCCCTTGGTTGGAAGCGGCCTTGGGTTGGAAACGGCCTGGCGGTGGAAAAGGCCCAGCATGTCTGGACACAGCCCTTGGCAGGAAAAAACCCTGCGCAGGAAAGAGCCCCTTGCTGGAAACAGCCCCGGCCTGGAAACAAGCCCCGACCTGGAAACAGCCTCTGGCTGGAAACAGCCCCTGCCTGGAAACAGTGCCTGGCTGGTAAAAGCACGTGGGTGAAGCCTTGCACCCTATACCCTAAATCCACGCCCTGAAGCTCCGAGGTGCCTTCATTGACCAGTTGCTGTAAGCCGAACAGAAAAATGGAATGTAAAGCTTCAAGGTTTGAGCTTTTCTGTCGGATTCTTCGACCAACAGACAGCGTCCCGTCGCTTTGCGGGTGCTTAAATCCAATTCAAGCAATCCGAGCACGATCCTAGGGGCCCACGCAGGGGCGCGGCATTTGGGCGGAGCCCTGAAAAGCCAAACCAAACAGGCAGTGTTGAACTGAACGAAAAGCTTTCGCAAGTGACAAACACAACCACCCAACTGCACGTACCGAGTGTTAACTTTCACAACCACCCAATTGCACGTACCGATTGTTGACTTTCACAACCACCACCCAACTGCACGTACCGAGCGTCGACTT